GGGTGGTTCTGGGTACATATCGTCAGCCCCCGTTCCCTCCCTCCCCCGTGAAAGCAAGGGCAGACAATCATTTCGCGCCTTTTTCCTGAGTTACCTGTGCAGACGCCATACCAGGCAAGCATGCAGGTACTCACCCTATGTTCTGGGTGGGCAGACGCGGTACCTTGTGAAGAGCACAACCCCTGCCGCACAGAGGCAATACGAGGGTCGTCCTCATCGTCCAGGGCCGGCGCGGCGGGACGCGGCAGACGGGAGGATTGGAGTGCTGACAGGTCTTCTCTTTAGTGCAGTCGTCCTATGAACTTTAGGGAGAGGTGTACCTTTTGCAAAGGTGAGGTTGTAGTAGCCTTTCGAGAAGAGTGGGGGCGGTCCTGCAAGGTGACCGGCACAAAGGAAAAGTAGGGGGAAAAGCCATTTGTTTTGTCTCATTGCCTCCCCGTCTAGGTTCTAACCCCAGAGGGCAAAATCGTCAATCAGCCAACTTGAAAACAATATGGATTTCTTATGAATGGCAAATATCCTTGAGTACCACCCCTTTGTTGTTTTACCCTGAACCAACTGAAGGGGCCCCCCAGAGCACAAGTTTTGACAAGCAACTCCTGCAGTACCACCCATTTTCGGCAAAAGGTGTGACAGGGTTTTCTGAAAGGCACAGCGGGAAGTGGACCGAAACAGAGGCATGTGTCGCACAGTGGAATGGTCCCCCCAAACCAACCTTGGGGGGAGCACGGGGTTGGGCAAGGGCCTAAGGGGAAGGAGGGGGTCCAACGGGGCGGACCTCCTATGCACCTAAAAGATTGTAGGACAAAAAGGGGAAGGGTCAGCGGTTTAAAAGGCAGGAAGTCCCAGAAAAATAACGTTGGGGTGTTGAAATATGTGACCACCTACCCCTTATCAGAAGAAAGAAGGCGCAAAGGAGAGGGGAGAGGTTGATTAAAGTTTCAGGAAACCATTTCCCCTGTTATTTGTTATGGGTAGGGTTGGGGGGGGGTTAGGAAGGTAGAGGCAGAAGTTAAAATTGATGAGTTTGTTTGTTAACCCCCACCTTTTCCTCTACTTCCCTTAAAACACCCCCTCCTCCCTTTAATTGGCAAAAAGTTCCTTTCAAATAGGGGAAGGGGGGGGTGGGGGGGTAAAAATTAAGTTTAAATTTAAAATTTATTGTTTTTTTTTGGCACTGTGGTGGAGTGGCGGTTGGACCCCATTTTGGGTCTGGGTGTGGGGTGAATGGGGGGGGGGTTGGTTACAAGGGCGGGCCAGTTTGGATCAACCAACACTACAATGGTTTGGTTGCAGAGTCACATTGAAGCCTCATCACGCACCTTTATAGCCTGTTTAGCACTTAATGCCCACTCTCCCGTATTTGGTTGCTCTGACTTATTGTCCAGGGTCAGTGTGGGGGAGATTTCCGGGTTTTTTTTTTCTACATGTCTGGGAAGGGAGTGTGATCATGAAACAAGGTGGTGGAGAAAAAAAAGGGAATTTAAAAAGAACTTTAAAAAAGGCTACCTTTCAGGGTAAACCTTGTAACATAACAAAGGTTTTGTTACAAGGGCATCCCCACATTTAGTTGAAAAAACATACTATGTTTGTTCACAGAGTAGTGTGGGTGAGGAAAGGCACAGAAGAAAATAAGCCCAGAAACCTTTTGCAAAGCAAACCAAAGCCAGCAAAGTACCTTTCACATGTTGCTTTTAAACCATGTATAGTTTTAAAAGTACACCAACCCGAGCCAGAGCTGGGTGGGTTGGGGGTAGGCCAGTCAGGGTGAGAAAAGTCCTGCGGAAAACGGTTTTCGTTGTGTGTGAGCTACAAACTCACATTTTTCCCAAAATATTTGTATTCATTCCATTGAAGGAGTCAAACAACAGGCGGGGTAGTGGGGCGAACTAAAAGCAGTCATCATAGAAGCATGTTTGGGGCTGAGTGTTCGTCTCTGGTTTTCTGGTAGGCTGTCAGTTCAGTTCACCAGTGGCCCTGTTATTGTCTTCATGCCTGGGAGTTTTCAGAAAGGTTTTGGCATTTAAAGGAACGGGTTCTTTAGCTTCCCAAACAGATCAGGACACCATGTGAGTCTTTTGCATCGGGATCCATCATGGTCACCTGTGTGATGAGCTGAGATGCAATGCCAAACAGAAATGAGATTCAAAAGTTCGGGTTCTTGTCTACCTGAGTGCATCTGAGTTGAGGCTGTCCAGAGGTCAGAATGGAGCACTCTGGGATAGCCCGGAGGAATACCATCGAATTGTGTCCACAGTACCCCAAATTGAGGCAACGTCGATTTAAGCGCTAATCCACTTGTCAGGGGTGGAGTAAGGAAATCGATTTTAAGAGCCCTTTAAGTCGAAATAAAGGGCTTCATTGTGTGGACGGGTGCAGGTTTAAATCGATTTAAGGCTGCTAAATTCGACCTAAAGTACTAGTGTAGACCAGGGCTGAGCTAACTTTCCAAAGGAATGTCCTACCAAAATGGGGCAGTCACGCTTAGATGACAAAGGTGGGGCTCCAGAGCTAAACCATAAGCCTCTGCTGCTTAAATGAAAAGGCAAAGAGCCAAATTTGTAAAGGCATTTCGGTACCTAAAGATGCCGATAGTGGGATTTTTCAATCTGTAGGCACCTGATTACCATGAAAAATCTGTCCCTAAATCCTTTAGTGGGAAATAGTAACAAACTCAAACCTGTGGGGAACCAGCCAGTAGAGGGCGCTCATAATCCACACTCTCCTATCGTGGGTTACAGTAATACCCAAAAAACATTGTGTAAGGCAGAGGTCCCCAAACTGCAGGGTGCAGTCCCCTAGGGGGTGTGGAGGAACATTCGGGGCGGCGGGCAGCAGTGCCGAGGCCAGCCCCCACAGGGGGTGGGGCGGGAACGCCATCCAACCCCAGCTCTGCTCCGACCCCATCCCCTGCCGCAGCCCTGGCTCCCAGCCTAACGTCCGACCCCATCCCCTGCCACGGCCCTGGCTCCCAGTCCTGTGTCCAGACCCAACCCCGGCCTTGGCCCCCAACTGCAGCCCCAAATCCAACCCCAGTGGCAGCCCCCTTACCCCTGTTCGCCTCCCACCCCTGGGAGAAGCTGTGGCCCCGCTCCTGACCCTGGCTCCTGGGGGGGGAAGGGCCTGCAACCTAAAGGGGTTGCAACCCTGAAAATTTGGGGCCTACTGGTGTGGGAAGTGAGATCCACAAAGAGATTTAGGCCTCGCAAGGCTGAGCAGCACACTGCCCAACTTTTAGCTACCTAGAAAAATCACCGCAACACACTGTGCTCGACACAGCCTTGGTAGATGCCTTGGCTCTTGACACACTGCATGGGCAGAGACTGGAGCCCAGGAATGCGCGCCACACAAGCCAGCATTCTAGGTGTGGAGTCTCATTGCTCTATTGTACTCAATAACTACAGATACAACAAAAGACAGAGGATGACAAGGAATAGCCAGCATGGCTAAACCAACCTCATTTCCTTCTTTGACAGGCAGGGTGGGGGCTGGGGGAGCAGTAGACATGTTATATCTTATTTTTTAATAAGGCAAATTAAGGAAAGGTGGTTTAGATGAAATTATGGTCAGGTGGGTGCAAAACTGGTTGAAAGACCACACTCAGAAAGTAGTTTCGGTCAGGCTCTGCCTCCCAAGAGTCAGTCATCGTGGATGAGGCTCAGGTCGAAGCCAGATGTCAGGTATGGACTGGGCCCAAGGGAGGGCTGTGGAACTGAGATCTCTGGACAGGCCGGGGTGAGAACAAGGATCACAGTCCGTGGATATGCAAAAACCGTACCGTGGCTGAAGTCCAGGTGCAGGCCACAGCTGGGGAGCTGCTTAAGCTAGCTAATGGGTAATGCTGACAATGTGTCCTGCGCCTTGCCCCTCTCTTGAAGGTAGGCCCTCCCTGCAACCGAAATTTAGGGACTTAGCTCTGCTTTTTGAAGCATGAATGGGAACCAGCCACCTGCAGTCACACAGTTCGGGCACCAGCTGCTGAGGAGTGGGTAGTGCTGTCTACCTGTACCAATATTAGCTCAGTGGTTAGAGCACTCAGCTGCAATGTGGGAGACTCGGGTTCACTTCCCTCTGCTAGGGGAAACAATGATTTGAACAGGGGTGTGAAACCTCTCAGGAGAGTGCTCTAATCACTGAGTTACAAGCCATGCAGATGTGAGGCTCCCTCTACCTTTCCTGTTGAAGTTGTTCCAGGTTGGAGAAATAATGCCAATGATTGGAGCAGGGGGACTCCTACCTTCCCCACGGGTGCCCAAACTCCTGGACTACAGCATCATTCTCGCTTGCTAGCTCTATTTAAGTATTTATCCACCATGGTGCAGTGTCCCACATCCCAGGTGAGTGTTGTAACTTCTGGGCTAGATGTTAAGTTATAAGGTAGGCAGCACCACTACCTTGCTGCCAGATTCTAAATGGGCCTTGATCCAGTAGGCATGCTCAGAGGCTCAGTGGATCAGGCCCCACCTTTCTCCCCACAGTTCATGAATCACTCCGGAGCTTACGTGGGAGACAGGTCCCACCTCCCCCATTGCATACAGGGAGGCAGCCCAGTGACAAAAACAGGTGCTGAGGGAACTTTTACTCTGAGAACTTTGGTGGTCAGTGAATTTGGACACCTACAGAGTGTGGTGGGAGTTTTATGGAGCCCAAACTGGCATTTAGATGCCTAAATCTGGGGTTTAGGCAGTTAAGTACCTTTGAGGTTTGCACCCAAATCATCTACCTTTTGTCTCTGTCTTTGGTCAATCAACTTTTCAGGAGAGAATGTGAGAAAGAGGATGCCATTTACCTCTGGATGGAAAGGAAACAGGGCTCAGAAGTGTTCGGATGGCAGTCTGAAGGAGCTGGGTTTGAGTTTGCCCTGATCAGCAAGGACGTGTGAGCGGAGAAGCCAGAAACTGGCTAGATGGGTACAGCTTGGGTAAGGTAAGGAGCCCTCACCTCGCTGCTGAGAGTGCAGGGAGAGGGGGAGATCAGATTAGAAACAAGACAACATGAGGTATTATTTCTCTCAGTCATTTTACTTATATTACTCCTAACACAGACAAAGGAATACTATAAAAGAAAATTCTAACACTAATATAACAGTGACAAAAAAACATGAGTAACATCGCTGACAGATAGGTGCAAGAGCTGAATGAAACTGGAATTATGCTCTGTAGAAGCGACATTAAAGTTGCAGAATCCAACACTGAAAAGTTAGGAAATGCCCAAACAGAGATTGTCCACTCCTGCCCTTCCCACACACCTGTATATGCCCAATAAACCACAGGAAGTCTGTGACAGAGTCTGAAATAGAATCTGTCTCGCTTCAGTCTCAGGCCTCCAATACAAGACAACAGTTCTTTTCTTGCCACCCATCACCTCATGTAGCGTCCACTCTGAGCACTGACTGAGGCAGGGGTCCAGTAGACTAAATTAAAGTAGGCAGTTAAAAACTACACCATTAAAAACCTATGCCCAAGGTGCAGATTTGTGATTACATGGGCAATCTTTCCTCCGGGGATTTACTAATTTGAGTGCCTCTGCAACCTTAATCTTCTCATGTAGCTTTCTCATGTAGCTTTCTAGAAGTAATTTTCTAGCATCTAAAACCAACGCAATTCTGACATCCTATTGAGCTATAGTGACAGCCAGGTGAACTAATGCTAGGGTTTGAACCAGTACAGCATAAAGCTATTTAATAGTAACAGCAGTACAGTGGAACGGCTTACATGACTATTTGCTAGCTAGTACAGGAACTATCAGGCGCTATTCCTGGTTTGTGTATTGAGGGTTAATCAGGGCTGGCCTTAGTGAAAATAGTGCCATGGGTGAACTTGTGTTTTGGCGCTCCACCTTCCGCTATTACCTCTGGTTCCTATGGGCCCCCCCAATCACTTCCAGGCCATTACCTATACTTCATATGGAATGTCCACAGGGAAGTCCATTCAATGTAGATGGTTGTCTCCCATGGTCCACTGTGAGTTAAGTGTCCCTTGGTGAGCCACTTACTTTGACTAGTCCCTTCAAGATGTGCTGGCTAACTACCTTGTGGGCATTACCCCAGGAGCAACCATTTGAAATCCAGGTATAGAGCCAATACTCAACTTCAGATACAAAAAGGATACATGCATACAAATAGCATAAACTTATTCAGCAAATCAGAACCTTTTCACAGACAGAGTGTGTACTGGGGAGTGTGAGACTGTGTGTGAGAGAAACAATCTGTGTTGGGGGACAATGAGAGGCAGAGTGTATGTGTATGTGTATGTGTGTGTGTGTTAGGGAAGTTTGAGAGTCAGTGAGCGCACTGTCACTTTAAGTCCCTCCTCCCCCCAGCTCGGCCCGACCCCTCCCCCACTCCCAGAGAAATTTCGCTCCCCCTGGCCCCAGCCTGCCCAGCCCCTGCCACACATAAAGCAGCAGAGCAGGGGTGCAGGCAGGGAGGGACTCGGCTCCGCTCCGGGCAGCGAGTGGTGGGCCAGGCTGCCAGTGACCAACCCCAGCCGCGCTGCTCTGGGCTCCCCGGGGCTGAGGCAGAGCTGGAGCCCTCAGCCGGCCCGCTGAGGAGGGAGGGGCTAGGGGGCAGGGAGAAGCCCGCCGGCCCAGCACAGGGGAGGGGATGGAGAAGAGAGGAGTCCGGCCATAGCCAGCCAGGGGAAGCCCGAGCCCCTTGTGGCGCCCCGGGCATGGGTCCCGTTTGCCTGGCCCTAAGGCTGGCCCTGGGGTAATGGCTAGTCATGCTACCTCCTTGTGTTTTTTCCATCACCAACAAAACTAAGATGGCAAACCCAACTCCCAGTCACTTTGTTACCCTACAGGACTGGATTCTACAACCAGTCCTGGTAGGAGTGACCTTGTGTAACCTCTTAGTTACAGACATCTGCAAATGAATCGGGGCGGGGGGGGGGGGAGTTAGATTGATACTCCCCCTGTAAGAAGCCTCTCCTGCTAATCAAAGCTCTGATGTGCAGAGAATTGTTAACCCAAGGCAATGGAAAAGCAGAGTGAATAAGCCACCCCCGTGACCGACGCAAGTTCCACCGACCTAAGTGCTGCTGTGAACAGCGCTATGCTGACAGGAGGGCTCTCTCCACCAGCCACGCTGCGGCGCAGCTGCACTGCTTATAGTGTAGACTAGCCCTAAGTGTGTTTTCATGAGAACCGTAAAAGGCACCTCTGACCCCAGCCCATCACTTTGCCCAACTTCCCATGCCTGCTTCAGAAACACGGAGGAACTAGAGCGCTTCAAAGAAACAAGGGGAAAAAAAACTCGGTTAACATTAGCAAAAAAGTTCCTATTTTCCCCTCACAGTGCTTTCAGCAACAATGGAATAGTTTTTTACTGAAATTCTGGGGTGGGAGGGGGGACAGAGCCCGAGGCAGAGTCCTGGCAGTGAAAATTTCAGCCCAGGTGGTTAAATGTTGGCAAAGTGTATAAGCAACCAATCACACAGGCTTGCAAGAGGAAGCCTTGGCCGGACTTAGGTATGGGTGTTCCCGAGAGCTGGCCATAATGACGACAGGGTTTCCAAATTTGATTGTAGCTTCTTCCGGATCATTCTTGGTGGCATGAGACTAGGGAATGCTCTTTATGGCTGTTGCAGCATGTCTTCCTCAGGCTCCTGCTGCATCTGCACAACACATGTATGCGCATGAAGTGTGCCCTGCCGCATCCCACTGCTAGGGCTCAGTGCCAGCCTAGTCATGGGACACAGGGGAACTTAGAACTTCCCTAAAACATTCAGAACAGTGGCAAGGCCCTGTACAGACAGAGGAAAGGATTTCAAACCACCTTATTGCTACTTGGATGCCAGCAGCTCCGGCAATGGTATATCTCACTGAGAGAATGTGTGAATAAAACCGGCACTTTGGAGAAGTTGGTGGGATGTGGTCATTTCTGCTGGAAAACAAGAGCAGCACGGAAACCCTGTGGGGAGAGTGTAGATCTACATCCACTTTGACTGTAAGCTTTACGGGGCTAGGACTGTCTTGTGAGTGTACATACAAAGCCTAGCACGATGGGACCCTGACCATGGTTGAGGCCCTTCAGTAGCCACTGGAGTAGGCATGTTAACAGTAGTATGAGAGACAAGTTGTTTAACAAGAATGTCTGGGGGGGGGCGGGGGGAGGTAGGAAAAAACAAGGGGAAATAGGCTACCTTGCATAATGACTAAGCCACTCCCAGTCTCTATTCAAGCCTAAGTTAATTGTATCCAATTTGCAAATTAATCTCAATTCAGCAGTTTCTCGCTGGAGTCTGGATTTGAAGTTTTTTTGTTGTAAAATAGCGACTTTCATGTCTGTAATCATGTGACCAGAGAGATTGAAGTGTTCTCCGACTGGTTTATGAATGTTATAATTCTTGACATCTGATTTGGGTCCATTTACTCTTTTACGTAGAGACTGTCCAGTTTGACCAATGTACATGGCAGAGGGGCATTGCTGGCACATGATGGCATATATCACATTGGTGGATGTGCAGGTGAACGAGCCTCTGATAGTGTGGCTGATGTTATTAGGCCCTGTGATGGTGTCCCCTGAATAGATATGTAGGCACAGTTGGCAACGGGCTTTGTTGCAAGGATAGGTTCCTGGGTTAGTGGTTCTGTTGTGTGGTATGTGGTTGCTGGTGAGTATTTGCTTCAGGTTGGGGGGCTGTCTGTAGGCAAGGACTGGCCTGTCTCCCAAGATTTGTGAGAGTGTTGGGTCATCCTTCAGGATAGGTTGTAAATCCTTAATAATGCGTTGGAGGGGTTTTAGTTGGGGGCTGAAGGTGACGGCTAGTGGCGTTCCGTTATTTTCTTTGTTAGGTCTGTCCTGTAGTAGGTGACTTCTGGGAACTCTTCTGGCTCTATCAATCTGTTTCTTCACTTCTGCAGGTGGGATAATAATGGGATTGTGATCATTATTTTTAAATAAATTTGACAGCCTAAAGACTCCCTAAAATCAGACTTCCCCTCACCAATGAATTCATGTGTGCTCTCCCTCGCTAAGGTGAAAATATAAAACGTATGCCTCTACCCCATGGGGCCATGATTTACCTTTATAAAAGGATATGTAGATCTGCATTTGAGTGTCGGCATTGTGCTTGAATGGGTGGCAGTCCTATTAAATGAGTGGCTATTTCAGCTTCCAGCTTGTTGATAAAGGTCTAGAGTCAGCTTGTGGACAGACACATTCTGTTTCAGAACAGCCAGGGAAACCAGATGTTACAATGCCCCTCTGCCATGTACATTGGTCAAACTGGACAGTCTCTACGTAAAAGAATAAATGGACACAAATCAGATGTCAAGAATTATAACATTCATAAACCAGTCGGAGAACACTTCAATCTCTCTGGTCACGCAATCACAGACATGAAGGTCGCTATCTTAAAACAAAAAAACTTCAAATCCAGACTCCAGCGAGAAACTGCTGAATTGGAATTCATTTGCAAATTGGATACTATTAATTTAGGCTTAAATAGAGACTGGGAGTGGCTAAGTCATTATGCAAGGTAGCCTGTTTCCTCTTGTTTTTTCCTACCCCCCCCCAGATGTTCTGGTTTAACTTGGATTTAAACTTGGAGAGTGGTCAGTTTAGATGAGCTATTACCAGCAGGAGAGTGAGTTTGTGTGTTTATGGGGGTGGGGGGGATGTGAGAAAACCTGGATCTATGCAGGAAATAGCCCGACTTGATTATGTAAAGAGTTGTCACTTTGGATGGGCTAGCATCAGCAGGAGAGTGAATTTGTGTGGGGGGTGGAGGGTGAGAAAACCTGGATTTGTGCTGGAAATGGCCCACCTGTTGATCACTTTAGATAAGCTATTACCAGCAGGACAGTGGGGTGGGAGGAGGTATTGTTTCATATTCTCTGTGTGTATATAAAGTCTGCTGCAGTTTCCACGGTACACATCTGATGAAGTGAGCTGTAGCTCACGAAAGCTCATGCTCAAATAAATTGGTTAGTCTCTAAGGTGCCACAAGTACTCCTTTTCTTTTTGCAAATACAGACTAACACGGCTGTTCCTCTGAAACTTGTACCCTGTTACCATGGCTATATAACTGGGGGAAAATAACATTCCAAGCTTAAAATACCCAAGTTCTATTAGTTTTTGGGGTGTACAGAAGCCCTGTAGCTGTGGGTGACAATGGGGATCAACTCAAAGCTGAAAGTAAATTAAGGTTCAGCACTCTTCATGTTCTTGGGCGGGAGGGAAAGAAAGCCCAACTAAAACCCTGGTATGGATTATATAATTATTCAGAACCACAACTGCCAGGCTTTTCAGCTCTGGCTCCAAGTCTCCTGCCTTCTGTGGGTTAAAGCCAGGCCCCTCCCCCGCGTGGTATAAGTTGTAAGTTAAATAATAATCATAATAATAATTTACAACTGAACGGGCAGAGGAAACTCAAAATATAGACAATAAAAAGTGAGTTACAAGGCCTGCTACCTCCTGGTCTGTTTCCTCTTTGGAATGTCGTTTATTTTCTCTTTGGTCTCCTTGTCTCCTGTGATCTGCAAAGCAGCGAGAGGCTGGTTAGCTCCTGACTTGTTTTGTACAAGTCACGCTTTGTGTAGAGGGTGACTGCATCTCTGTGTGGCATTTTAAGGGAGTCCAGCTATAGAGAGGAGTGCAAATCAGAGTTTTTTGGAGAGCACAAGTTGTCAGATCCTCCCTTTCCACCACAAGGTGGAAATGTTGGGATTTCAGAGTCGAGGGCAGGAATGTGAGCAGGAAAATGAAATTTCCTAATACTCCCCATCACCTGCACTTCACCCTCTGTTAATTACCTGGTTCTAACCTCATTTATTAGTATCTCCAGCGGCATTTGCTCTTGCTGGTATTTCAGACACTGCAGGAGGAAGAGCTATTGATACCGTACAGATTAACTTCAAGAAGACAACATACTCCCAGAGTCTCTTCCCCAGGGCAGCGATGGCTTTTGGAAGAACTCCCAGAAGTTAATACCCGTGTTACAAAGTGCTCGGAGATAACCAGGCAAATGAGGAGAAAAGGGCACAAGAAGTTGCATATCTTGAGAACAGTATCCCAAGAGAGTTGGTAGATGGGGTAGGAAAGGAAGCAAATCGAGCCTATCTGAACTCTTAGGTGCCTAAATACCTTTAAAAACCTGTCCCCTAGTCAAAGACATCTCCCAGGGCATTGACTGTAGCCAGGTCAGTTGGAGCAGGGGGAAGTGAAAGAGCCATATACTAAGTTACCCAGGAAAGAGAGAGGCAGTAAATTATGACCACACAACAACTGGAATGAAACCAGAAGGATACTCACACCAAATGAAGAGGGTTAGAAGGCCAAGGAGAGAGATTACGGCTGAGGTGACTGCATAGCCTGTCAGATCTACAGTCTGTGAGCAGCCTCTCTCTATATGTTTATTTTTTAAAAAGAGAGAAAAAGTTACAACTTCTCAGTAGCTTGCTTATTTGCCCAAAGAAATCATAGGGGAGCTCAAATGTAGGACATAAACTTGCATTTAATCCAGACCTCTATAGGGCTAAGACATGTCTGTGGGAGGAGAGAACCGGAACATCTATATTTTATGATAATACACAAGATTCAAATGTGCTGCCCTGGGGACATCCACTCAAGATCCCTGACCAGGTGAGACAGACCTGAAAACCCTTCCTCGGTTTTCTGCTGAGCCAAGGGCATGGCGGGATGGGACTTTGGGGGTTTAGTCAGTGCTGTGTGTGGATACTCATGCAGCACGGACACGTTCCGAGTTCATGTGCAGTGTCTCCATGTTTTGATACAAGTGGCTCCCAGTCATGGAGGGTCACTACATCAGGCTCTGCAGCAAGAACTGCCCATGCAGAGTCTCCAGCTCTCAGAGGTGAGGGTTTGTTCTCAGGGAAACATGCAGTGTAAACATAGGTCACTAGAGGGTCTGTTCTCACCTTGGAGCCGGGAGATTTTCTGGAGTAGGAGGCTGGCAAACAGGACCACTAATATCACTGCTCCAGGGGCTGCTGAGTCCAGGATGACACGCTGCCCTGGGACAGGGAGAGAATCATGTGAAGGCAGACAGACAAATGTATTATAAAAGTTCCCGTGTGAGGACAGTTCTGCTATGTACAAGAGCATAATTCCAAGGAGTGCCTCATGCAGTAAACGGGTCAGATCCTGGGGCTTTGCATTCTATTACAAACCAGAGTTATGGAAAGAAATGGACAGGAAGTTTGGGAATCAAATCTCTTCTAGTGGCAGCTGATATTTTAAAAAGCCAGTGCAAATTCAACAGCTAAGCAGACAGACAAGCCATCCTACAGCTATGCTGGTCACCATCAAGCTGCTGAGCTCCACCTGATTATAACTTCAGTCTCTCACTCATCCCTTCTGCATACCTGGTGTTATCTCACTGCTCGTTACAGTAAAGTGACTGACACATCCAAAATGCTGATTCATGAGCCAGAGGTTTCAGAAGTTAATCCCACGTCCTTTCATGCTGCCTGCTCCTCGGCCCATATTTCCACCTTTTAAAGTCATGTGTTTGGGGCAGGGCAGGTTAAGAGTTAGATGTCGGATAGGCCTTGCAGTGAATGTGAAGGGAATGGGCTGCAGAGCGTGTGTGTGTGTCAATATTAGTACCAGTAAAAGCCGCCTATATAGCTCTTTTCTCTAACTTAGTCAGGCCTATCAAGGGTCTTTCCTCAATCCCATTTAGGAAATAAATCAGTTCACCACCTGTCCCCCAATAATTAAATCATAAATAGAATGACTCACATGGTTTGGTCTTAAATCCACTGAGCTTTGCAGGCTGACACACCAACGTTGCTGATAACAGGGCCGTTATTATGATCACATATACAAGCAAAAAGTCAAGCAATATGAAGGCAGCAAAGGGACCTGGAAGAATTAAACCAGAATTAGAGAGACTGATATGGTTAATCAGGCTTAGTAAAGGCAAATGTCAGCGAGAGATCATTATTCGGGTCTGAGCACTATACAGGCTACAGTCTGGCCTCAATTACACCAGTGACACCCCATTGCGGTCAGTGAAGTCAATGGGGTGCAGGGGCATAGCAGATGGCAGAGTTTGGCTCCCTGGCTGGGGGTGAAGTTTATAATGGGTAAGCAGTTGCACCTGTGGACTGGAAAAGTGACTGGCAAAGGGATAGTGCTGCAGGCTGAGGCATTACAGCTTAAAGGAGGTTGCAGTTTCATCCCAAGAGGCAACACTGGGTAGAATTCACTATAAAACAAAACCTTCAGTCAACATATAGATCGCACCCTTACTATACATCAGCTACCCCTGCTGCTCCCTCTCCTCCCATCCTAAGCTACTCTGCAACATCTACAAGATGTGCCCGTTTCCTGCTCAACTGTGGCAACCAGTATCTACAATCTTGGATACATACCAGTTTCCAAGACCTTGCTGCTAAAAGAGTGTTACTTCCATGACCTTGTCTCGGTGGACTGGATTGCGTGGGGCCATTGTAGGTGTCCAGTTCTGGTTGCATAGGAAGATTAAAGCTTTCCTTCATTTTTCACACAACCTATTTCTTAGTCGGCCAGATTTGGCATTCATGCATGTCTCTGGAAAGTTTCTGAAATATGGTGTAATAGCCTAGCTTTTGTCGCCCTGCTGACCCAGGCCACCTGATCAGGCCACTAGCTAGGTCAGCCAGTGAAACTGACAACAGGGTGGCTGAGTGCACATGCACCTGAAGGTCCACCTCAGCTAAGCCTGCAACGTGTAGTTGCACTATCCTCCTTGCCCTGAAATGAGGCCTTCCTGTTAGCCACCTTCCCCCCTTATGAGTCCTTCACCATCCCCAAATGCCCAAAGCCTCTTGTGCACTCCTCTCTGAAACCCACCAAAATCACTGCTGGTGCTACCTTTCCTTCTCCCGGCATGCTACAGTTGTCCTGGTATTTCACTGAGGACCAGATCCTCAGCTGGAGTAAATCTGTGTAGTTCCACTGGCTAGGTCGATTTACACAAGCTTCAGATGTGACTCTGAATCTGGTCACCCTCCCTTTGATTAACTGTAGGTTTCTTCTCTCTTCGTAGACTCATTCAATTCACCTCATTCATCTCCTTACAATCTGAAGTAGACACATTTGTTAGTATCAGAGCCAGGGAGACTCTACCTTCCTCCTGCATCCAGAGCACAGTAGCAGCGAACAGCAAGACGGAAGAGACACACACCAGCCCCTGAAGGAATACGCTCATCCATCTCCAGGTCTCCCTCTCTAGGAAAACAACAGACAACCAACAGTGAGTGCCCAGAGCTGCATGAGACCTCAGGCTCCGCAGATTCTGTTTGCAAGGGGTGATGCAAACTTATTCTCAGCTTTGGTGTGCCTGAGGTTTATTCCCCCTGAGCTTCAAACAAAACCCCAAAACTCAAAGTGAAACTTAGCCAAAGCCACAAAGATTTGTCTAGTTTAGGTGAAAACATGAGAAACCACTTGGTTTCCTCCTGAATCAGACAACAATGAAGGTTTGTTCCAAACTCAGCCCAGGTTCAGAAACCTGGCCCAAATGTTGGGTTTGTAACAGAACCTGCAATCCAGGGGAAACCCATCCATTTCATGTTTTGTTATGAAAGTTTCACACAGCTCTAGGGTTTCTCCACAAACAGCAGACTAGGAAGACTCAAAAGGGAGAACAGAGAAGCTTCAGTACCAAGAGTTAACACTGCAACGCTTCCAGCCTCCCACTGCAATAGTTAAAAGACAGTCACACACTGAAGACCTTTCCATTCACTTGTGAGACTTCACCTTGGTTACCCAGGCCTTTCTCACATTCAGACTGCATGACCGTAACAGGCTCTGTATAGGTGGGGGTTTGGGGGAGGCAGCTGCACCTGGAGCAAACCTGGGTATGTCTACACTGCAGTCACAGAGTGTGACTAACTCAAGCAGACACTCCCGAGCTAGCTTTAAATTAGCTAGCTCGGATCCTGGAACAGTGAAGCCACACCAATGCGCACTTCAGCTACAAAAGCCTGCACACAACTCTGGGAAATTAATCCTGGGGCTGGCCCACGTTGAAGCACTGTGCTGCGGCTTTACTGCTGTGGATACCTGAGCTAGCTAGATCAAGGCTAGCTTGCGTATGTCTACAGAAGCCGCAGCCACACCTTGCAGGTGCAGAATGCATCCGTTCCCTTGCTCAGTGGTGCTCCAGTTCGGGAGCACTTTGCACCCACTGCAAATCCTGGGTGTCGTTCACAGAATCAGTTTTCACCTGTAAAGCCCAACATGGCTAGAGCCCTGTCTACCTTAGACAGCTGTTCTCTCCATCCTTTTTCAGCAGCTGGCAGCTTCTTGGCTTAAAAGAGGCAGGACTGGTGCCAGGGTGTTTTCAGTACAGGGCTGCCAACTTCATCCTTGGTCAGACAGAGTTTGAGTCTGTTGACTAAACAGGCAGGCTGCAAGGCACAGCTATTCTCAATTGCTTTTAAAGATGGGATGAGGAGAGTACAGGTGGGTTAGAGTGTGTGTTGGTTGAGAAGTGGGGGCATAGGCGCTGACTCTGTGGGTGCTCCGGGGCTGGAGCACCCACGGGGAAAAATTAGTGGGTGCTCTGCACCCATTGGCAGCCAAGCTCCCCGCCCACCCCGCCTCACCTCCTCCTCCTAGCATGCTGAGTCTCCACTCCTCCCTCCCTCCCAGTGCTTGCCGCTGTCAAACAGCTGTAGCAAGCTCTGGGACAAAATGGGGGGAGAAGTGGAAACATGGCGCGCTCAGGGGAGGAGGCGGGGAATAGGCAGGGCCAGAGCGGGGATTTGGGGAAGGAGTCGAATAGGGGCAGGGAGGGGGCAGAGTTGGGGCAGGGACTATGGGGAAGGGGTTGGAATGGGGACAGGAGGGGGCAGGGCAGGGGTGCAGTCGGGGCGGGGCCGGGGGCAGAGGGGGGTTGAGCAATCACCGGGGCCAGAAGAAGTCGGCGCATATGCATGGGGTGGAGTCTGGATGGGCAGGGGGTAAGTTAATTATTAATTTACAATTTTTGATGTGTGTATTTTCTCTAAGCTGCATGCTCCTAGAGCGTGGGACATGACACATTTTATACCAAGGCAAACAGAGGCTGTGCTGTTGGTACAGTGAACAATAATCCGTTAAGCATCATTGTCTGTGAGTGCTGATGTGCAGAGCAAAGTACCACTCTCCAGGAGTGAGGGTGGAAGAATCTGGCCCCAAATGGAGGGAATGTTTAGGAATCAGGACAGAACAGGGGCTGAAGAGTTGCAATCCTGTTATGCTGTTATGCTGAGTACGAGGAGTGGACCTGGGATCTGCAGCTGCTGTTTAGAACTGGGTAACACTCCCCAGGGTTTCCACACAGGGTTGATCAGAACCGATAGACTGACCTTGCTACACTAGTGAGACCCTCATTTTGGGCCTGACCCAAAGCCTATTGAAGTTGGTGGAAAGGCTCCTACTGATTTCAGGGGCCTTTGAATCAGGCCCATGCCGGAACGTCTACACTGCAATTTTATAGCCCTGCAGCTTGAGCCCAAGGCAGCTGACCCGGGCCAGCCATGGCCATGTTGCGGGACTTGTATTGCAGTGCAGACATACCCTGAGAGGCTAAGGGGAAAGCAATCAGCCAATGCTGCCTGCCATTATCTGATTTGATCTCAAGCAAAGAAGAGTAGAGGCTTTAATTTTGTGTACAACAGACCCAAAGAGCCAAAGGCAGATAAAATACTTACTGATTCTTTGGTTTCCTGATTGGCAGCACAAGAAAAAGAAGCCCATCCCAGAGACCAGAGCAAACACCAGAGCAACAGCAGACATTTTCAGGACATGCTCTAGAGAAGGCGAGATACCTGGTATGTGGAGAAAAAAAATCCCAGTCTCATGGGGAAGCAGAACAGAAATAATCAACGAACAGAACAGAACAGAGAGGCTGTGGGCAGCCCATTGAGATTGGGAGCTGCTGAGAAAGTTTTTGGGAGCCAGGATATTTTCTACTTGAGGATGTGCATGAGGGGATTGCTACCCCCTGCCAGTGATGGCACCGGGTCCCAAAGACGAACCTTTCCAGCTGGGATCTAACCTCTTCTGCAGAGCTGCACAGATAGCAGGACGAAGAGAGATCATTACTGTGTTCATTCAAGTAAATGTACTCAAATAGCACATCAATAGGTAGGAGAGTTCTGGGTGTTACACTGCCCACCTTTGACCTGATACAACACATCTACCAACCACTGGGAAACTACAAACTTGGTTCTTACTCTGCTGTCTAGTGGCCAAAGTAGAAATGTATTCAGACAGGCTCTATATCAGTGGTGGGCAACCTGCGGCGCACCAGGATAATCTGATTGCTGGCTGCAAGACATTTTGTTGACATTGACCATCCACAGGCACGGCTCCCCACAGCTCCCAGTGGCCGCAGTTCGCTGTTCCCGGCCAATGGGAGCTGCAGGAAGCGGCGGTCCGCAGGGACGTGTTGGCTGCCACTTCCTGCAGCTCCCATTGGCCGGGAATGGTGAACCATGGTCACTGGGAGCTGGTAAGGGGCGGGAGCATGCCTGCGTACAGTCAACATCAGCAAAATGTCTCATGGCCCGCAATCAGATTACTCTGGGCCGCATGTGGCTTGCGGGCCGCAGGTTGCACACCACTGTTCTATATCTTAGTGCGTAACAGCTATTCTGAAACAGGGCAGCTATAGAATTACCCACAATAAACTGAAGCCCGGGAGTAATGCAACACTCACTGACAATGGTCAAGTTCAGCGAGGATTCCTGCCAGCTGATCTCATTGCTGACATTGCAGGAATAGGAGCCACAGTCTGATTTTTCCCCTTTCCCGATGTGCAACACACTGGGACTTCCAGAAAGAAGGTAATATCTTTCCTGGGGGAGAGGGTCTCCATCCTTCTCCCAGTCAATGTTCTCCACTGTTCCCTCCGGCACATTGCAGAATAATTCAATCGGTGAACCTGCCAGGCTAGAATTGCTCCATATCTGCGGCTGGGACACAGGCCCTGAAAAATATACAACACTGGTGTAGCACCAGTCTTCATAACATGTGTGTTTCTTTCCTGGAGTTACAGGGGTTCAGGACCACACTTGAGATAAGATGAGCAGGGATCAGTCCCTGCCAGAGTGAGCACTGGGGAGTTTGGACTGGGTGGAAGTTCAGCACTCAGGAGAAGGGGTTACGTTGTTAGTGGGTTAAAGTCAAATAAAATCTGTCGTTGTTGTTTATAATAAAATAGTGATGAAGTAAATGAATACAGAACTAGCTATTCAATTTAAATGTAATCTATAAGGATTTAGCTTCCAATTTACAGATTAAACCCCAGACCAGCCATTCAGAGCGGCCCTCAATTTAACCATGGAAGGAGAAGAGCAGCAGCAGATGAATCAGGGTGGCTGCACAGTGCACTGAATGTCCAAAACACTGCTACCCTATGGAACTCACTGCCACCAGATATCAGTTAGGCCAAGAGCTTAGTAAGATTCACAAAAGGATTAGACATTTACATTAATAATGAGAACATTCACGGTGACATTAGATAGGCTTAAACAAACATTTTTTAAAAAGAAGGAATATAAATACTCATGGCCACAGGTTGACAGCCACTAACTGAGGAGGTTAGGAAGAAAATTCCTCTATGGGCAGGGCATTCCATAACTGTTCACTAAGGAGTTTCTTGCACCTTCCTCTGAAACAGCTGGTATTGGCCACTGTCAGAGACAGGATACTGGACTAGCCAGGTTTCCGGTCTGACCTGGTATGGGGATTCCCGTGTTCTCAATATTATTGCTGTGCCATTTCTCTTGTATAACATATCTGGAGAGAGAAGAGTCCTGAAACAAGACTTCCTGAGATGGACTTTTAATATATCCAGATGTTATAATTTTTAGTTATTTATTTTAATTTATTTACATTGCTCTGTTTTTTTAAACAAATTGCCCATAGAGAATCTGACCCATGTAATATGTTTACAAAAATTAAAACAAATATAAATATATTAGATATTTATGGGCCACAAATGCATTAATATTGCATTAACATTGTAGATGATAAGGATCTAAGACCAGTTTAAAGGAAATTTCACTATATTGACCCCCTGTCATGAATAGCTACCATACACAGACAAAGCAAAAAATAAACGATGGAAGCACAATGCTCAGGGTGAGGGCAATTGTTTTGTTCAGAGGGCGATGTGCTGAGCTATTGTATCCTCGTGTGAGATTTTTCCAGGGTTTTCTGCCACTACATTTTCCCCTCCCTCAGCTCTGTTCTAACTGGTGCTCTGTGCTTAGAGAGCTGGCCATTAAGGAGCGAGCACAGGCATTCAACCCTGGAGCATTACTAACAATAGGTGTCATTCAGATGTTTCCCTGTGTAGCATGCTGGACAGTCACTCCCAAGTGATTTCCCCTACAAGGGGCATCAAAGCTGTTCTGTGCATGGGGCACGGGGCCACCAGAGCAGAGAGCCGTTTCACAGAGCACATTCAGACTGAACACAGCACCTCCCTGACACATCGAGTCTCCATCATTCTGGGGGTTCAGAGCCCCTTCCTTATACATGTTTCCCAGTGCAGGATCAGATACAGCCTTCCCCATTCCGGGGCTCGCAGATCTCCCTGACATTTCTAAGTGAGTCCATCAGCATCCCGTCCTGCTCATAAGAACATAAGAATGGCCATACTGGGTCAGACCAAAGGTGCATCTATCCCAGTAGCCTGTCTGCTGACAGTGGCCAATGCCAGGTGCTTCAGAGAGAATGAACAGAACAGGTAATCAAGTGATCCATCCCCTGCCGCCCATTTGCTTCTGGCAAACAGAGGCTAGGGACACCATCTCTGCCTATCCTGGCTAATAGCCATTGATGGACCTATCCTCCATGAATTTATCTAGTTCTTTTGAAACCCTATTATAGTCTTGGCCTTCCCAACTCCTTTGTGGTTTGCTGAAAATCCCCCTCTATTATGACTATTCCAATTCACACCCTGGATTGAATGGATCCTTCTAATGTACTGATCTGTAAACATTGGAAGAGTAAGACCTCAGTGTCTCTCACTTACTGAGAACTTTCAGAAGGGTTGTCCTGGCTTCGCTCTCGATCAGATTGATACTGGCTTTGTAGACCCTGCTGTCTGTCTCGTGTAGTTTTTCCAGCAAGAGGGAGCCGTTAAGCGAATAGAAAATGACTCTGTCTCCATAGGGCGCATAGAGTGTCGGCTTTTGTGACCCCACATAGTACTGCACAATGAAGTCCCATGTGGTGCCATTTAGATATTCCCACTGGATGAAGTTGATGTCTGTTATGTTGTCCGGTGCAGACAGCAGCACTGAGGATCCCACAGCTGCAGCTTTTCTTTCCAGAGGTCTTGCTGCTTCTGAAGTCCACTGAAAAGCTACCAGCAGCACTAGCCAGACGGGGAAGAGAAGTGGAAAAGCATAAAAAAAGAGTCAGTCAGAAATCAAAGTCCAAAGGGCATTTTCCATACCAGGTCATTCAAAGGTTTATACCATCCTCACCACTTTAGCACCAGAGGACCTTCCAGAAGTGCATTGCACAAGGGGACTAGCATTTGTCAAGGGTTTTCCCCCTTACTTCTTTTTCCTCTTGAAGAAAATTATCTGAGGGTTTTATAGTTGTTTATTTTTAATATTATCTCTGCTGTGCTAGGTGTGTTAGTGAAGGCAATGTCAAAGAAGCATGCCTGGCACTTGGAATGGAAAGTGAGGACATTTCAGTCAAGCCTTAGGTCTTGTTGGAGTTCACTCACAGTCTTGGATTGCCCCTGCGAAAGCTCCCATCTCCTGCATAGGCAAGTTTTACGCTGGCAGTGGACAGCTCCAGTATAGAGGTTTTATGCCTCTACCATAATACTGTAAGCAAAGCTGTGCTGCTTATATTTTAACAAGGGGGAAATCCCACCAACAGTTTGTGATGAAACTTCACGCCCTGGGGCAAGGACAAGGACTATACTGATGTGTAGTTGAAACGAATATGCTGTCTCATAGCCAAGAAGGGAAGCAGCATTTCTTGGAAAATACATTTCTGTGAAACTGCACTTCGTGGGCACTGTGTAGAACTTGCTCCTGAAAAACATGCCGAGTATGGGAATAGTATCAGGCAGACAGGAATAGCATCACAATGCAGGTGAATAGGGCTGCACTGTCTGTCAAGGACATTGTCTGAAAACGCCTCAAAATAATTGTTCTGCAGAACAGGGTTTTGTGAACTCCTCTCCAACACATCATAGTTGGCTATTTTACTTCTACCTTTTACGCAATCCAGAGCCCAGGATCTGAAAAAACAAAAAACAAAAACAGACTACTTACTGACATATCTAAATATGTTGGCCTATTTGAATGCTTCATTTTCCTCATCTGTAAAATGGGAATGAAAGGACTTACCTTCCTCACACGGTTGCTGTTAGTGTTCACTAGTTCTGTCTGAACAGTGATTTGAAATATTACGGCGCACTCGTGACTCCATAGTTAACGCTGAGCAGAGCTTTCTGTTTCAGAGCCAATTTTTCAAAATTTCTTTAAGATTGCGATACCTCACCAAGACCAGAGGTAGCATAAGTGGTGAAAGTATGGAGTGATTTGGCCCAGCAGTTCCCCAGCCACACGCCTCTCCCCTCCTCAAACTACAGATGAGCTGCTTTTAATATCCAAAATTCACCCGCATGGGGAGAGTGTCCTGGATAATTATGCCATAAGAAGGGCTGAGCAGACTGAAGCAAATTTGAGGTCATTTGGTCCAGGTGTTCCTGAAATACTGCCCGCTTCCAATAAATTGGGCTACTTTGAAAAGTTTCAGAGTTTAATAACCTTTTTGCACAGTTACAGGAATAAAAAAACAAAACAAAACCCTAGGGCTCCTCAGATCCTCATATGACATTACAGGACTGCCCAAGCTGAGCTATTCAGTGGTACTAAGGTGAAAGCGGGGGTGGGGGGGAAGGTTGCAAAGGCACATTCATGGTGGTTCTATGCTGTTGCATCCTAAATCAACATCTTGCTTATGATGGTGCAAATTTTTGTCCACTTGTGGAATGATGCAGAAGAATTTTTCATTCTACAGGAACTCCTGAGAGACAGATTTTGGGGCAAGACAAACTCCCCATGCACCACAGCCTGTAGCTCACTAGTCGTCTCTAATAAATAATTAATCTTCCCATCTGTCACCAGACAATGAAATAGTTCCATGGCACACAGGGATAGTTTTCTACCACAGACCTGGAAGAACTGTTCTCTTTTCCAGCCAGGGATCTCCAGCAAGCTCTCATCAGCCAATGCCACCACAGCCCGAAAAAACTGTAAGGCCATCTACCCCCCTGGCCTTCCCCTCACAGCCCTCCATCCTTTGCCACATCAAGCTAATGACCCAAAGCCACACACAAATACCAAAACATTTGTGGCAATAAACAGAAAGCAATTGCCATTTTCTTGTTAGGAAGAAGGAACCTTCTGTGTGGCACACACATGCAATAAGCAGAGAAGTGTAGGGATGGATGGGATGTAAAGGGAGATAAAGTTGCAATTTCTGTCTTGTTATGATGCACAGAGATATTTCCCATGCTCTCCTGAACCCAGTCTCAGTTTCCAGAGGTGGACTTTCTGGTTGGCTGGATGAAGGCCATAAAACAGCACAAGTGACCCATTCCTGGCCAAAGTACTCCCACTTATCCTCACATCCTTGTGCAGTACACAGCATGCCTCAATCACATGAATGGCATTTTATACACTGCAGTTCAAATGGCTTGTAGGCAACACCCTCCTGTCTTCAGCTGGCCAAATGCACATTCCACCACCTGCTCAGGGCATAGTCAGATTGTCTTCTGCCATGTGATCCCACACCAGGGTAGGCCTTAATGAGTCAGGGCAGTAGAGGATAGGCTAGGTCCCCCATTATAACAGTGGGCACAGACTCCCCACTCATCTTCCACCCAAAAACTGTGGATAAGGTCCCAGCTTGGCCATATTTGAATACACTGGGTCTCCAGATTATCCTGGCTTCATGCACTTTGCCAGTGCATCCCATGTAGGTGTTTATGAACCTCCCTGTATGGTCTACCAAGGCCTCCATAAGGAGCAAGTTCATCCATTCCTGTTTATATAAACATTGTCATCTAGGTCAGGGGCATGATAAGAGGTACACCTGTACCATGGATGGCTGGAAGTCTATTCACTGAAAGACAGCTCTTACTTCAGGCACATTTCCTATCTTCACCAAGCAGGGGTGAAATCAAAACAACAGTTGCCTGGCAAACATGCATCACTACCAAATCAACAGCTGACTTGCCAATGCTGAACTGATTACCCACAGCTCTGTAACCACCTGCAGTAGCCAGCTTCTAGAGGGCAATAGCAACCCATTTTTGGGCCATTCCCCTGCATATTCTGGTGCTAATGGACTGGCTTGCACGACACACCGATCTGGACATGGGGCTGTCCTCATGCAGAAGTTCTGGGCTGAGGTCTGCGTGAAGATGTAGTCACACCATTCTGCGACTGTGGTCCTGGTTCAGGGTCACCAGTCAGCATTCATCAGCCTAAAATAATGGATCTGTTAATACAATAAAAAATTGCATCAGCCATCTCCAGTCCGGCAGTTCTGCATGTAGCCTGTGTGCTCTCCTTAGTTGCCGAACTGCCCTTCCCGACGTCTACTGATCTGGATCGTCTTCCTTTTGTCAACATTTGGCACCAGTCATTGCTGCAAGCTGAACCCATGCCTTGCCACAAGTTGCAGTGAAGGCCACAGAGAGAAATCTGGAGTGTGCAAAACTGGAATTGGTTTACTTTAACTTCCACACATATGCTCAGAAAGGACAGAGTCTCTCACAATATACTGCAAAGGTCTTCATAGAGTGACTCAGTTTACTGTAGTGCTATCCTTTAAAAAGGATTATTGAAAATCTGGAGAAGGTGCAGAGAAGAGCCAGAAAAATAATTTGAGGGTTGGAATAAGTACCTTACAATGAGAGACTTTGGTTGGCTTAACCGAAGAAGACTGAGATGCCACTTGATTACAGTCTCTGTGTACCTTCATGGTGAGAAACAACTGGGTACTAATGGGTTCTTTAATTCAATGGAGAAAGGGAGAACAAGAATTGATGGCTGGAAGTTAAAGTCAGGCGAATTCTAACTGGAAAAATAAGTGCCGTATCCCTAAGCAGTAAGGATGATCGTGATGCTTCCTGGGGGTATGCAGGGCTCCGGGCATTCACCTGCAGTTTGCGTATGGAAGCTTCGTCTGCCTGCTGTGGGGCGTGTGCTCTTTAGCGGGGTGTCACTAGGGCATTCAGTAATTAGATCAATCCGAGGGGCTTACAGTTCTCCACTACACAGCATACCACGGTTACATTGGCTCCACGCTTGTGATGTGCTTTTCACCTGTTTGCATGCACAATCTGAGGTGTAATCCTGCAGGGGGGGCCTCTGCACATTGCAGTGAACATCGTTAGCCCTTTCCACCACTTCAAAACCCCTTCCATGAGTTCTGCATCTTGTACCTTTTGACCATAGGCGTAGTTTGGCGTGGGGCAGGGGAGTAATGCCCTCCCAAAGAGAGGCGAGGCATGGGGGGTACAGGGAGGGAACGTGCCACTACCTCCCCCCCCCCGATTTCTGCGAGTGCTGAACTGCCCGGCAGGGCTTACTCTGCTCATCGGCCTGTTGGGGGGCTCTATCCTTCCCACGCTGCACCCCTCCCACCCCAGGCTTGCTGGGCTCCTGTCCCTGGCGGCCAGGTCCTGCAGGGAGAGGGATGGAGCAGCTGCCCTGGGTCACTACCTCTGCAGCTGGACACCGCCTCCTGGGTCCTAGTGCCCGCCTCTCCTGTACAACTGTGGGAGCCCACGGGGGTGGGGCAGGGGGGGGCAGGGCAAGGGTGGAAGAGACAGTGGGGAAGGCGGGGTAGCACAGGGCAGGGGGAAGAGAAGGGGATGGTGGAGCGCCGGGTTGGGGATAGGGTGGGTGCAGTGGGGAGGGGAAGGGATGGGGAAGAGAAAGGGATATGGTAATGTGTGTTGGGGGGAAGCAGGAGCCCGGCATGTGGTGTCCCCCCAGCAGGGAGGTGGCCAGGAGCACAGGGAGGCACCAGAGCAGCCATATAGCTGCAGCAGCTGGTGCCAGAGTGGCCGCAGCTCCCATGCTCAGGTGGCCGCAGCAGCTGCTGGGCCTATCCTCCCACAGCACCGGCAGCCCAGGTACCACTCCAGGCAGGGCGGGACTGAGCTGAGGGAACTGGCTTCAGCATGCGCTCCTGCGTGCATGCACGCCTGCACTTTGCCCCCCCAAATATAGCAGTCAAACTATGCCTATGCTTCTGACAAGGAGTAACACCAGTACCAAACCCCTGCATGAAATGAGCAATCACAGGTGTTGCGATCATATTATTCTTTGT